GGCCTTCTCGAGGACGTCGACGGTGAGGGTGGTGGGACAGACTGCGAGAAAGTGGTCCCTGACTACGCGAAGGGAGTCAGGGAGGCGTGCGACTACGTAGTAGAGAGTGATGTACATGGGGGGGGGGGTTCTTAGCGCAGAACTCAGCAGGAAGGGCGGCGCGGTAGCGAGTGTCACTAGTGCGGAGGTGCGTAATGAGGTCAGCGACAGTGGGAAAGGCAGAGAGGTCAGGAAAGAGGTAGGGAAGCATGAGACGGCTCAGTGCAGCAGTGGCAGGGGAGGAGTAGCGCGCAACTACAGCGTCGTACAAGGTCTGAGCACTCTTGTACTGACTAAAGTGCGCGCGCTCAGAGGTAGGGAGGTGGCGACGCACAGCAAGACGTGCAGCAGCATCGCGGGTGGCCCACTGAGAGCGCACGGTGGGATCAGCCTCAACAGCAGGAGCAGGAGAGGCGCCAGAGGTAAGGTCAACGAGAGAGAGGTCGTCTGCCCTATCGCACTGTAAAAACAACTGCAGGTCGTCTACCCAGACCTCAAAGTCAATGGCGCGACCCTCAGCGTCAAAAGCTAGGACACTAGGGGTAGCCATGACGACGACAGCGAAGCAGTGCAAGCAGTAGGGGAAGAGCACGCAGTGACAGTGGGACTGTGCTCACCAGGCAGGGCAGGCCGGGCAACTCTGCAGAAGGGCGGCTCGGCGACTCAGCGACTCGTCTGCTGGGCGGTTCGGCTCCCGGGCGGCTCGGCGGCAGGGCGGCTCTGGTGCAGGGCGGCTCGGCTCCCGGGCGGCTCGGCGGCAGGGCGGCTCGGGTGCAGGGCGGCTCGGCTCCCGGGAGGCTCGGCGGCAGGGCGGCTCGGGTGCGGGGCGGCTCGGCTGCACTGCTGCTCGGCTGCTGCAGGTGGGCGGCTCGGCTGCTGCAGGTAGGGTGGCGGGGCCGCGAGACCAGGGGCGGCGGGGCCGAAGTAGCAGGGCCGGCAGGGAGGGCGGCGGAGCCGCGGCTGAGCAGGCGGCGGGGCCGGCGGCGTAGCTGGCGGCGGGGCCGCGTCGTAGTCGGCGGCTGGGCCGCGTCGTAGCGGGCGGCGGGGCCGCGTCAGAGCAGGCGGCGGGGCCGCGTCAGAGGTGGCGGCGGGGCCGCGTCAGATCAGGCGGCGGGGCCGCGTCAGAGGTGGCGGCGGGGCCGCGTCAGATCAGGCAGCGGGGCCGCGTCAGAGGTGGCGGCGGGGCCGCGTAAGAGGTGGCGGCGGGGCCGCGTCAGAGCAGGCGGCGGGGCCGCGTCGTAGCGGGCGGCGGGGCCGCGTTAGAGTAGGCGGCAGGGCCGCGTCAGAGCAGGCGGCAGGGCCGCGACGTAGCTGGCGGCGGGGCCGCGATCGGGTGGCGGGGCCGCGACGGGGAGGCGGGGCCGCGATCGGGAGGCGGGGCCGCGATCAAAAGGGGTGGTGGGGCCGCGTCTGAGGGACGGCGGGGCCGCGAGGGAAAGGGCGACTCGAGGGGTCGCTAAAAAAAAGGTGCGCGCCTCGGGGCGCGCTTCGGTGGGCCCTAGGCAACGTTCCCACAGGGAACTCGCTCTATACCATGTGAGAAATAAATGACCAGGAATGAGAATGACTAAGTCAGTGTTGGGTACAAATACAACCCTAGAAAGCTGTACCCCATATGTGCTACCCCACTATAGCCTACAAACATGCATCAGCTATAATAATCTGACAGACGACCCTTGGCAAGTGCAGCTTGCAATACTTTCTGCCATAATTTTTTTATTTTTGTTTTTTACATTTGTCAGGAAGTTCTTGTTTTTCTTTTAGGTTTCGTGTACTAAACTGTTGCCTTCTTCCTGCAGACCTCTTGACAACTCGAAAGCGACGATTGAAAGCGCCGACTGGAGAGCAATTCAAAATCGCCGACGCAGCCAATAATCTACGGCGTGTTTCTCGCACCGGGGTCTCCGCTCAAAGCTCTTCAAAAGCTGCAAGGCGCTGCTGGTAGGCCTCTCCCGGGAAGGAGACGGTCGAGTGGAAGTAAGTAATGTTCCATTTCTCCTACAACCGTTTTTGGCTCGTTTGTTCAACTTGTTTCGTAAAAACTGTTTGACATGTTTCTAACTCGTTTTTGTTTTCCTGCAGAGTGTCTAAGACTGGAGTGCTTCTACCCGGCATACAGTGCCGATTGGCCCAGCCCCAAGTCAAGCTCGTTCATTTGGCTCTCACCTGACAGTCGCGAACCTGAAGGCCGGGTCAAGTCCTTGTCGAGGTAAGTGAATCCTTGACTTGTCTGAGGTAAGTGAATCCTTGACTTGTCTAAGTAATACCTCTGATTTAAGCTATAAGTGACACCTCCAAGTTTTCCTTCTCACTTGTCTACGTACTAATCTGTTGCCTTGTCTTTTCAGACCTCTTGGCGACGACGACGATTGCCGACACAGCGACGATCACGGCTGCATTTCGGATTGTCGTGCGCCGTCAAGATGCGTCGAGATGGTAAGTGAAGCCCTTTTCGTAATTAATGTTTGGTCCTAACTTTTCGGCAACATATTCTCTAGTACTAACGTGCTCTCCCTGCATACTGCGCTTCATCGCCGTTGACGGATTAAACTACGGGACCTGAAAGTCGCAGACCTGAACGCCGTGCATCACTGGTCAAGATCCGCTCTCCAACAGAACGTCTGTTGTCTTGAACGTGCACAGCCTTTAGTCTAGACTATGAAGACTATTTAGAGTCTTAGTAGTATGCATAGTAACCTCTGGCTTCAACTGTGTGAAGGAATTTGATGGAAAACGCCAAGGCAGAAAGTTGAAGTAATTTCATTGAAGAAGGCATACAAAAACAGAAAACACAAAGCAAGTTATAAGCAGAAGGATTTCTGATTTCGCCCTCGCGCCGCGCCTAATTTCGAGCTGAGTTGTACTTGGCTCAATTTTCAAATCCAACCATGCACCGATCGCGCCTCGAGTTCGAAATTCAGACTTCCTTGGACGCGCCTTTGACCCGGCGTGACTTCTCTTCACGTCACTTGAAAGCACGACATTTCAGCCATGTTCTTCTCCATTTCAGCATGCTTCATCTCCTTCTCTTCGTTTCCCACTGCAGGTCGCGCTGCTACCGTGTTTCTCCTTCCACCGTCCCAACATAGGTAGTCTCTCTTCTTCTTAGGTCCTCGCTTCCCCGTAGTCTCAGCTCGTCAAAGTAGGTTTTTCTTAGGTCGATGTAGGTCACTCGAGGTTGTGCTAGGTCGTGGTTAGCTAACCATCGTCAACAATCTCCCCTGTGGTTTGCTAACCAGCTTACGCACGTTTCACCTTGAACCAGCTCTATGCCTGCTCCACACTCCCCTGCAATTCAGCCAAGATTCGTATCCCAACCTCTCTCTTGCAATGCTCAAAATTAGCCCTTCGTAACACCTTAGTCAGAAAATCTGCTGCTTGTGCCTCCGTACGTACGAATTCAAACTTGAACTCCTTGCTACTCACCTTTGAACGCACCCAATGACACTTCACATCCATATGCTTGGTCCTCCCGTGCCAATTGTCGTTGTGAGCCAAGTCAATGGCAGATTTGCTATCCGTGCGTATCACCGTCGGCCCTTCCACCTTGATTTCCATCTCCTTGAGTAGCCTTCTCAGCCAAACCCCCTCTTGGCACGCGAAAAACAGAGCCATGTACTCCGCTTCCGCACTAGAGAGCGCTATGTCAGCCAACCTTTTTGCTTGCCACATGATTGCTGTCCCGCCGAGAAAGAATACGTAACCATATGCTCCCTTCCTTGCTTTCTTATCGGATGCATGTGAAGCATCCGCATACCCCACTAACTCCAGAGTTTCCTCACCTCCTTCAAATGACAGCCCCTCATCTTCATGCTGCAGTAGGTAGTCGATAGTCCTCATCTCTCTCCATTTTCTCTCCCCTTGCTGCTGCACTTGTTGCCCAAGATAGCTAGCTGCGTATGCCATGTCGACGCGCGTGCATGAGACCGGATACATGATAGACCCCACCATGGACTGATATACTTGCATAGCTCTCTCTTTACAGCCCCATTGGTTGACATCCTCCTCCCTTTCACTGTCGCTTTCAGCTACCCCACTCAATGGTGTCGAAATTGCCTTCGTGTAGCCATTGCCAAACCTCTGCTGCACCCTGCTGCAATATTTCTGCTGGTGTAGGAACATCTTCCTCTCCTCCTTACGTCGCTCCAGGTTCATGCCGAAAAAGAGTGTGGTCCTCGGAATCTGCTTCACTTGAAAAACTTCCGCAAGATGAGCACACACCTTCTCTACCTCCTCCTCTAACGCCCCTGCCACCAAGATGTCGTCCACGTATAGCACCAAGAACACCTTCTCTTTCCCTTCTCCCTTCCAGTAGAATGCCCTATCACACTCGCTTTTCTGAAATCCCCCTTGTAGTAACCGCTCATCCATCGCCATATACCACTTCCTAGGACTCTGTTTCAGCCCATATAATGCCTTGTTGAGCTTGCATTTTCTGCCCGAGCCGTCATCATGCCCTGGTGGTTGCTCGAGGTAGATGTCCTCCTTCAACACCCCATACAAAAACGCGTTTTTAATATCCAGCTGCACCATGAAGTATTTTCTTGCTGCTACCACCTTGAGAAAAACCCGCGCCGTTGCCAACTTGCTCACTGGAGCGTAGATCTCATTTTGTTGGTAGTCTTTCCCCTCCACTTGAGTGTAGCCCTTGGCTACAAGCCTTGCTTTGAGCCTTTCCAGCTGCCCCATATCACCGGTCTTGATTTTAAAAATCCACTTCACTCCCACGGCTTTCCTCCCTTCGGGCATAGGTACTAGCTTCCATGTGCCCCTTTCAGCCAATGTGTTCAACTCCTCCTCAATTGCCGCTTTCCACTGCTCCCTTTCTGGACCCTCTAGCGCCTCCTCGATGCTCACTGGTTCTTTGGGCAGGTTGTGTGTCACTTTTCCTTCATTGGAGACTAGGTCAGTAGCTGTGGCAGAGAGTAGGAGGTGGGTGTGGATGTCCTTCCAACACGTCATCAGCAGTTGCGCATGCCGAGGTTTGGTTTCTTCAACCTCTTTCCTTTCCCCAACTCCTCCGCAGGTGATTCAGCCTCATCCTCACTGGAATCCGCCAGTGTTTTCCCTTCTCCATTCTTCACTTCCCTTCCAATCACGATGGCGCCCTCCTCAAGTAATTCCTCTATCTCCCTCATCTTGACATTGCTGTCATCACTGTTTAAAAGCTTCCATGGATCACTATCTCCTTCAGCTGCTGATTCTTCATCTCCTTCTTCTCCAACCACCTCTTCATTGCCACCCTCGGCTACTTCATTGCTTAGCTGCTCCCCTGCTATCTCCACTCCATTGGTTTCATCCGCTTCACTAGTTAGTGCCTTCTCCCACACCCAATCAACTGAATCTGCCCGTTCCACATCTTCGAGTTCCTCATCTCCTTCATACCCTACTCCCTCACTCTCCTTTTCCTCCAAAAGATCCTCCACCTTGTCCGGTGCAGTTGTTGTCCATGCTGCTGCAATCTCTTTCTCTACTCCCTTCCACTGCAGGTAGTTCACCTCCTCGTAGAAGACAACATCCCAAGTGATCGTGACTTTTCCTGAAATTACATCCTTGATCACCCACCCCTTGCTCATTGGGCAGGTACCGAGGTTAATCCCCCAATGAGCCTTGGGCAGCAACTTATGATCCGGACCGGCTGGCTCTCTGTATTGCACCATACTCCCCCACACCCGGGCAAACCCCAGATTCGGCTTCCTGCCATAGAAGGCCTCGTGGGGAGTCATATCTGTCAAAAGTTAGAAGAAGAAAGAGGATTGAACTAGCAGGAATGAGGATACAAATAGCAAAACCCTAGAAGGGTTATACTCGCTATAGAGCACCCCACTACAGGCTAGAACAATAAGATAATATTCTGACACACCCCCATAGCCAAAGTGGGGTGTAATCAGCAGAGCAGGCAAAGCAAAACAAGCTCAGGGTGGATCACAATGTCACCACACATTCTGAGCACAAGTTCAAGAAGAAATAGTTTAGAGTTCACAATAATAAGCAAAGCTAGTGGTAGTCACAACGGGCAAGTGAGGAGGAGGAGGGAGAGTGAGGGGAGAGGAGTCAGGAGGCGACGGCTGAAGCTGCAGACACACGGGCAACAGGAGGCAGACTGGCACAGCGGCTACCGGACAGCGCCCGGACTACAGGAGTAACAGGCCCCGCGGCTCAAATAGCGGCGGACGTGCAACGGACCCACGGGCGGCTGGCACAGCTGGCTACGACTGGGCTACCGGGACAGCGCCCCGGACTACAGGTGCTGCTGACGACAAACTGGCAACCTCCGCTCATCCTCCCGCACACAGTCCCACCCCCCTGATACACACCCACTGCTACACCACTAGCTCTACTCCCACGCACCCCCCTAAAACCCTAAACCCAGTCTCCCACACAACCACCCCCCTCAGCGACAGCTGCAGCAGTGGGAGACGAAGGAGGAGGAGGAGCAAAGGGAGGAAAGTACACTGGCCACCCCCATACCTGCCACCCCACAGCGCGCAAGCGGCCCCCTCAGGTCGCCTCGACGGGCGACGGGAATTGGGGGGGAGGGGAGAAAAAGGGGGGGGAGGGGGACGGGGCCGGGGCCGCGACGAGGGGCGGGGCCGCGACGGTCGGGGCGGGGCCGCGACATAGGGCGGGGCCGCGACGTAGGGCGGGGCCGCGACATAGGGCGGGGCCGCAACGTTGAGCGGGGCCGAGCCGGGCAGGCGCACGGGCGGCGACGGGCCGGGGCGGGGCCGCGACAAAGGGCGGGGCCGAGCCGGGCAGGCGCACGGGCGGCGACGGGCCGGGGCGGGGCCGCGACGTAGAGCGGGGCCGCGTCAAGGGGCGGGGCCGCGACGTAGAGTGGGGCCGCGTCAAGGGGCGGGGCCGCGACGATCGGGGCGGGGCCGCGACGTAGTGGAGAAGCCCGCCGCGCGCCTCGGGGCGCACAGCGGGCAATAAACCGCCGCGCGCCTCGGGGCGCACGGCGGGCAGAAAACCGCCGCGCGCCTCGGGGCGCACGGCGGTAGGAAAAAGTAGCAGCGGAAGCGAGGTGGTAACCCACCCACAGGATCGATCCAAGGGGATCGACCTGCTCTGATAGCATGTCAAAAGTTAGAAGAAGAAAGAGGATTGAACTAGCAGGAATGAGGATACAAATAGCAAAACCCTAGAAGGGTTGTACTCGCTATAGAGCACCCCACTACAGGCTAGAACAATAAGATAATATTCTGACAATATCTGCCCGAAGTCCCTTGGTAGGTAGGCGGTTCTTGGACCAGCACGCCATTGCCAATGCATCACTCAGAACTTCAGTGGCAGCCCACTATCTGCCAACATGCTCCTGACACTACCCAGTAGAGAACAGTTCACCCGCTCCGCTATGCTATTATGCTGTGGAGTGTAGGGTACAGTCAGCTGCCGTCGGATGCCCTTACTCTGTAAAAACTTGTTGAACAGGTCCCCTGTAAACTCCCCACCATTATCTGTCCTCAAAACTTTCAACACCTTCCCACTTTGCCGCTCCGCTTCCGCCATCCAAGTCACGAAGCTAGGAAACACTTCTGCCTTATCTTTCAGCTCCGTCACCCATGTGTGCCTTGTTCCCAAATCAGTGAAGGTAACGAAGTAGCGGCTACCGTGACGTGACGCCACCCTCATAGGCCCACACACATCGGCTGCTACGATGTCCAAGGTGCCATAAGGCTCATGAACCTGGTGGTGGGGGTGAGGGGACTCTGTGATTTTACCTTCAACACACTTGCTGCATTTTCCCTTGCTTCCAGCCCCCTCCTTCAGTGCCACACCTTTTACCATGCCCTTTTTTACCAACTCCTTGACCCTATCCATGCTTGCATGCCCCATGCGCCTGTGCAAGGTCTCCAATTCCACCTTCTCCATCCCAACCACCATGGCTGAAGCTTCCTGCTGCAGCTCCTTCACTGGTAAGCCACCAAGCCGAGCCTTCAACTCCTCCCTAGCTAGGTCCCCTTCGAGTGATGGCAGGTAGGTGGCATTCTCATCTTCCAGCCCCTTCTTTCTCAGCTTCATTTCATACAACCCCTGATTTCTGTTCCCTTCTGCAACCACCTTCCAATCCTCATTGAAAACCCACAGCTTCCCCTTGTTGCTGAAGGTTTTGCACCCCGTGCTGTCAAGTTGAGTTTGGCTGATCAGATTCAGTGACAGCTTCTCCACTAAAAGCACATTCTCCAGTTTCAGCTCCCCGTACTCTCCCTGGAGCAGCAACTCTCCTTCCCCCTTCACACTCAGTTTCCCTTCATCGCCCAATACAACGTAGGGTACACTAGACTCCCTCAATCCGGTAAGCCACTCACGATGATTGGTCATATGTTGCGTGCAGCCACTATCCATGAACCACGCAGCTTCACCAAACCCCTTTGCCATCAAACACACTCTCGATGCCCTTGCCATGTTTGCCTTGTGAGCTCCCCCCAAAATTACTTCCGCCTCACTGTTTTCAGCTTCCACTGCATTTGCTTTTGCTGCTGGTGGTTGATTCTGCTGCTGGTTTGCCCCTCGGTAGTTCCTGCTGTTCGGGTTCGAGTAGCAGTTGGCTGCCCTATGCCCAATTTTCTGGCAATAGTGACATGCCCCTGAAAATCCGCCTCTCTGCATCTTGTTATCGCCTCGAACCTCCCCCTCTCTCTGGTGCCCTCCATTTTGCAGGCCCCTTTGCTGCGGACCGCTCCACTTTCCCGTGAAATTTCTGCTCCTCGGGTTGTCATAGCAGTCTATCTGCTAATGACCCTTCTTCCCACACTGAAAACACACCCCGAAACCTCCGTATCCTTTCCCTGTCGCTGCTGCGTTTACCATAGCATGAGTGACTGGTCCCATTCCGCTCAAGCTAATCTCCTTCCTGAGCCGATCAGCTTTCACCCGCTCCAGGGCTTGGAGCGTCTCCAACAGCTTGGTCATATTCGCGGGTGGGTTTCAGGTTAGGAGCCCTATCTCTGCTTCCCACTCCTTGGGCAGCCCAGTAATGATGTACCCCATCATTTCTCCTTCAGTTTCAGCTGCCCCCATCGCCTTGAGGTCGTCATTGTACCCCTTTGCTCGATTCATGTAGTCAATGACCCTCTCTCCCGGCTCCATACTCAATAGAAGGAGTTTCTTCCGAATGGCTGCTTTGTTCGTATCCGTAAGCCCAAGGTAAGCAGCTTCCATGTACTCCCAGGCTCGTTCGGCAGAGTTCTCCTCTCCCGCAAATTGATCCAGCCCCACTGCAATGCTGTCAGAAACCGAATGGCACAATTGAAAAAAGGCTTGCTTACTCCTTTTTTTGAATGACGCATTTTCTTCTGGTTTTTCTTTTGCAGATGGTGGGACGCCCTCTCCCGTCTCCTTGTCGGGATGATAGTACGGCCAGAGATCGACTTCCTCCGCTCTACGAATGAACTTGAGTCGCCACGTGCTATAATTTTCTCGATGGAACCGTTGGGCCTCGCTAAGCCCAATCAATGGTTTCGTCGTCAATTTAGCTTGTGCTAGCGTTGTTAGGATGGCCTGTAGTTCTGAGCCTCCAATGCTCACAGAGGAGCCCGAACTTGCCTCAGTATGATCTCCCGTCATACTTCATAGATTCCGCCTATCCTTCAAACGCTATAACACGCCTTGAACCAGCTCTGATACCAGCTCTTGAACGTGCGCAGCCTTTAGTCTAGACTATGAAGACTATTTAGAGTCTTAGTAGTATGCATAGTAACCTCTGGCTTCAACTGTGTGAAGGAATTTGATGGAAAACGCCAAGGCAGAAAGTTGAAGTAATTTCATTGAAGAAGGCATACAAAAACAGAAAACACAAAGCAAGTTATAAGCAAAAGGATTTCTGATTTCGCCCTCACGCCGCGCCTAATTTCGAGCTGAGTTGTACTCGGCTCAATTTCCAATTCCAACCATGCACCGAACGCGCCTCGAGTTCGAAATTCAGACTTCCTTGGACGCGCCTTTGACCCGGCATGACTTCTCTTCACGTCACTTGAAAGCATGACATTTCAGCCATGTTCTTCTCCATCTCAGCACGCTTCCTCTCCTTCTCTTCGTTTCCCACTACAGGTCGCGCTGCTACCGGAGGGCTGGAAAGTCTTAGCAGGGCTGCTGGAATTGACTGGATGAGGTAAAACTTCACTATGTTCAAGATTAACAAGCCCACTAAAGCACAACTCTATAGGCATCACAAACAAGACAGATTGAAAGCTCAAACTAGGCTGATAGACAATGTAACTTCCCTGGTAACTTGGGCACAATCTAGATTGGATGGTGTGAGGATCTAGGATCGAGCTCAGAAAAGAGAATTGTAATTGAATGATCACCTGGGTACAACACGAGGCTATATATAGGCTCGACACAAGGCCCCGTAACCAGGTGTTACGCGAAGGTTCCGCGGGTCACAAAGCGTCCCGAACAGATCCTTCCCGAATTCGGTAGAAGGCAATTCGATGGCAACCGAAAAGCCAGAATTCGGTGCACGCAACCTAGCTCGGTGCTATAACTATAATAAAATATAGGAAAGCACCTAGCCTAGGAAATCAAGTAATTCATGCATGCATATAATTATCCTATGCTAGAAATAGCATGATAAAGTAAAGGCAAGCAAGCATAGCGGGCATAAGCCGTCGTACTCTAATAGATGGACCTTGAGTGACTTTGAGTGCCACATGAGGTGCATGAATAAGAAAACTCTGGATATTTCTGTTATAGCTGATTCTGATGTGTAGAAACCTGTAGAAACTGCCAACACTTCGGTTTGAAGGCAGCTTTGAACTGTATCGAGTCTTCGGCTGAAATCTGATTGGTGGTGGAACTTTCGAAGTACTTCCCGAAGCCTCTGATTCATCGCCGACATTCCCCCTTGCTGCTGCTTGTGTGCTAAGGGCTGGGGCAGCAGAAACTCGATTCTCCAACACTCTTCACGTCAATTGAAAGCACGACATTTCAGCCATGTTCTTCTCCATCTCATCACGCTTCCTCTCCTTCTCTTCGTTTCCCACTGCAGGTCGCGCTGCTACCGTGTTTCTCCTTCCACCGTCCCAACATAGGTAGTCTCTCTTCTTCTTAGTTCATCGCTTCCCCATAGTCTCAGCTCGTCAAAGTAGGTTTTTCTTAGGTCGATGTAGGTCACTCCAGGTTGTGCTAGGTCGTGGTTAGCTAACCACCGTCAACATGTTGTAGTCTCGCTTTGTACGTGTGTTGTGTAAGTTTGTTCCTTAGTTTGTTCTAACTTGTTCTTGTTTCTGTCTCACTTGTACTGATATGTTGCATTCTTCTTTTCAGGCCTTGTACTCGAAAGCGTCTCGAAAGCGTCACTACGACGCAGCAAAGATGGCGACCTTTCGGCTTTCGGCTTCGCCGTCATGTCCTGGCCGAGATGGGCCGAGAAGGGCCGAGGTATGAAGAAATCCTTCGCGTGATTAACGTATATTTGGCAACGCATTTTCCTAGTACTAACGTATCATATCTCCAATTTCCCTGCAGACCTTGGCGACGACTGCTCTACCGTCGTCATCTGCTCTACCGACGTCGTTGATTGCTGTACCGTCGTCATTGACTGCTCTACCATTGTCATTGGCTTCTAGCGTCAAGCAGTCACACTCGCACGGCTCCACCGTCAACGGCAACACGAGCCGACGGCGATCAGCTACGCGGCGAATCGCTAGCGGACGACACGGCGAGCGTACGGCGAGCATACGGCGACGGACGGCGACGGACGGAGTTTCTACCAGCAGCGCCTTGATCGGGCTGAGGTAACGAATTCTATCTTGATCGTTGATTCCGTCTTGGCGGCTTCGTTTCGTGTATAGCCTTTTTCCGTCTCCTTGACAGTTTCCTGTCCTTGACGGTTTCTAAAATATTTCCACGCTTTCTTGATGTATCATTCATGTTGCATTCTTTCCCCCAGACGCACGGCGACGCATGGCGTCTCAAGGCGACGCATGAGGTCCCACCGGCGCACGGCACATCGGAGGCGGCGCTTCAACCATCGCGGATTCACTACCAGCAGCGGCTCCCTCAGGATGAGGTAAGGCTAAATGATCCTGTTTTATCTATCTTGACGGCTTCCTTTCGTATCGTTCCGTCTCCGAGACGAATTCCGAATCTTGACGGTACCCGTTCTTGACGAATTCCGAATCTTGATGGTTCTTGTTTATCTTCCTCTAGACGCATGGCGACGCAAGGCAACGGACGGCAACGCACGGCGCACGGCAACGCGCGGACGCCGCCTGGCGCAGGGCACATCGGAGGAGCTTGGCGGCGCTTCAGCCATACAAGGCTTGGCGGCTGCTACCAGCAGCGCCTCTCACGGACTGAGGTAAGTCTGGCTATTTCATCCTCAGCCCCACGCTTCGTTTCATGTCTTTTCTTCGTTTTGTCACTTTACTTCCTCATTGACGGATTCGTGTTCCTTCTTTACTGCAGAACTCGACGTGTCTTACCGTCCGCCATCCTCATGGATGGCGAAGCGCGGTGACGGATGGTGACGTACGCTTTAAGCTCGTTGCGGCTGATGGCGTGTCTCTCGGGCAGACGGCGCGTTTCGCAGCGACGGTGGTGAGAAGGTGGCGCGTCTACCTAGGCGCTTGGCGGCGCATCTCTCAGCCGGCGATTCGCTACCAGCTGCGCCTCGCTCCAATTGAGGTACCTCATTCGACCTTACATGTCCTGCCGTTTACCATCTTATTCGACCTTTCATGTCCTGCCGTTTACCAACCATGCCGCATTTCATGTCCTGCCGTTTACCAACTCATGCCGCGTTTCATGTCCTGCCGTTTACCAACTCATGCCGCGTTTCATGTACTGCCGTTTACGAACTCATGCCGCGATTCATGTGCCGCCGTTTTCATGTCGTGCTGTTTACCATTTCATTCTACCTTTCATGTCCTGCCGTTTACCATCTCATTCAACCTTTCATGTCTTGCCGTTTATCAACTCATGCCGTGTTTCAACTCCTGCTGTTTCTTTCCGTCTTTCTTCCTGCAGAGCGCACGAAGCACAACTGACGGCGGAGCACGATATGGCGAGGTCTTTCGGGCGCACTGCACGGCACGGCACGGCACGACACTGCACGGCACGGCACGGCACGACACTGCACGGCACGGCACGGCACGGCACGGCACTGCACGGAACGGCACGGCACAGCACGGCACGGCACGGCAGGAGCGGCGGGAGCGGCGGCGGCGGTGACGGCGATGGCGACGGCGGCGGTCAACGGCGGATGGTGCATGGCGCTTCTCGGGGGGGGCGGATGGTGCCTCTTGCGGGCGGACTGCGCGTCGCACGGGCGGACAGAGCCGGTCACGGGCGGATGGCACGTCTACCGAGGCGCTTGG